CCGAGTATTCAGCATTTTGTATCACCGTGAAGTGAGTAGGATAGGGATTTAAGGATAAGCTTGAACTTTCTTGTGGAGTGAATTGAAGATGTTTGGTTTTATTCAAATGAGTGTAGAAACCTATATATTAGCCAAGAAATATTGGCATAGGAGGACAATCATATGTCTGGTGTGTATAGAAATATCAACCTTCGAACACACCCGTTTTTACAAGTTCAGAATCCGAGTATTCAGCATCTTGCTACACTGTGTGGAACCATTGATAAAGATAGGGATTTGATTTCTAAGTAAATAGTTGATGGATGGCTAAGCTTGAACTTGTACAATGAAGTTCGCAGTAACTAGTGTAAACTTTTGTTTCATTGGAGATAGAATTGAGAAGAATGGGACGCTTGCGTTGATTCTGATGGGTGGAATTATTTGTCTAGTGTGGGCAAAACTATCTTTTTTACGGGTTCAAGCTTCAAGTTTTCACCATCTTGCTTCACCTTCCAAAATTATTGAGGATGGTAAGGATTACTAGATACAGGATTAACGGATAAGGTGAGCTAGTAGAGTTAAAGCCCCAGTACACAATAAGTTTTGTTCAACTTCGATGTTTTGCAGATGTAATTGGAGAGTACGGGACGTTTCGTTTGGTTCGGATTGGTGCTGAGAATTAATTTGACATGAGGAGAACACGTGTGTCCCTGGTGAGGTCTGAATGTCTGTTTTACAGGTTCAAACTCCGAGTATTAAGGATCTTGCTTCGCCCTGAAGAACCATCGAGGATTTCAGTAGTACGTAAAGGGTTGAGCAAAGGATAAGTTTGTACTTGTGCAACGTACTGAATAGGAAATGACGTTAACAACGAAGATTCTGCGGGTTTTGTGACAATCCTCACAACGTTATTTTGTAGTACTTGGATCCGTTCGATTTTATTGCTTCTCTTCCTTAAGCAGGACAGCCGGGTCAACACGGTGCATGACAGTTTTCCGGGATCGATTTTTGACCTGGATTCTCTGTTGCAAATCGGGTGGAACCGTGACAGGCGACAGTAAGCTAAATCCAGTCTCACATATGATATCCGAGATGAACATTTAACGCTTATCAGTACTTTGTACTAATAACAAATCATCGAATAGCAGATAAGCGACAAAGACGATTTAAATCGAGAGATCCATCGGTCTCGATCCACCACCGCCGCCTCCCCAGAGATTTGAACGGGGGTGTAGAAAAGAATGGCCGTCCTTCGGCACCTTAGTCCACCCTGTACCCTTTCCCGTACCCTTTCCTGAACCCCGTTGGCGCGTTGCCGGGGGCAAGGAACTCTGTCGGTGCCCCCCCTCGACAGTGGAGAGAGTGCGGGGGTCACCGACCCCCAAGTTTCACCTCAAAGACACACTAGCACCCTCCCGCTCAGCTGATCGTCCAAAACTGGCACGCCCATCGGTCAATGAACCCACTGTTTATAAATGGGAAAATTCGTATCATCTCCAAGTTTTATTTTCATTACGATCTATTTTGTAATTTCTAAATTACTATTTGCAACTTTGCACGTTAGTTTTATTGTAATTCTAACACTTGCCATTTATAGCTCTTTTTATAGTTGTAAATTAAAAAAAAAAAAACTATAACTAGGTTAATTGAAGATATTGAAGTAAATTGAATTTATTTAAAAAAAAACTTTGGTCGACATACGAAAGCATTGGAAAAGAAAGTTTATGTTAACTAAAATTCATCAGATCTATTGTGGCTAGCGTGGAAAATCTTAGCTACAGGTGATATCGTTTTGCACAAACCTGCTCCATATACAGATTTCTATCTTATCTCTGTTTGCTGTTTTTGTTTTGGTGATGATGAACAGTTGCCCATCTCGACAGCCCAATCATTTTTTTAGCCACTACCTTGTTGTTTTATTTATCAGACCATTGTTTACTTCGAATAAATCTTGAATTTTTTCTTCTTGATGTGGATGTATTAACATCTAAAACGTTTTCTCGGAAATACAGAATAAATTCTGAATAATTTGAACAAGCTGAACTTGGTAATGTCTAGCCTGTTATGTTTCCTTTAAATATACAATATCTTTTATCGACAAAGTTCAACTGATTTTTTTTTTTTGAAACGGGTAAGGGAGGCTTTTGTTTATTCTCTTCGATATGAAATACAGATCGACGACTATTATACAAACATGGGGGCATAAAATGTACCATGGATGTACGAGTGTTTCTTTTCAATCTGGTTAAGTGCCTTTTATTCGGACTTTTTTCCTATAATACATTCAATATATCAATCAAATCAATATCAGTTTTAAGAGGTTTCATGCGGCCTGGGTTTTTTTTTAAACGATCAATATGGTTTCTTCTCGCCATCTTCATAGGTGGTTTTGTGTACAAATTAACAAACAGGGCCGGCCGCTTGAAGCGATGATAGGCTGACCCAAATGATCGGAAACGGCCAAATTACTATTTTAGTCTTCCCCTTTCGATAATTAAGTAGCACATAAGATTTATGTATTGGCGGGGAGTTTGAAAAATCAATTTATAGTTTAAATTCAGCTAAAGGAAGAAAATTGTCGTTTATAGTTTTGAGCTGGATGAATAACACCCAGGGTCAGAAATTTTGAATCTGCTGGACTAAGTTGATCGATTGCCGAATGTAATCTTATGTTTTATTGATTATTTGAAGATCGTAAAATGCGGTCTTGTGTGATGTAGGTTTAGAAAAACATTTTCTTTATTGTGCCAACGTTTCGATCTTTAGATCATCTTCAGAGCCTGGGATTTAAAAACATTGTTTGGATTATATGAATACAATTAAGATGTAAAAATTTATACAATGATGTACGCAATATTGAAATTTTATGTTTATTCAAAGTATTATTGAGTACAAATACCCACAATTTCTATATCCCTGAAGATGATCTCAATAAAGATCGAAACGTTTGCACAATAAAGAAAATGCTTTTCTAAACCTACATCAGACAAAACTGCATCTCACGATCTCCAAATAATCATTAATTAACGGTCACTAAGTACTAGACGCTTATGTTTTATTGTAACTTTTAACACTTGCGTTACTAGTGTTACTTGTTATCTGTTTATATATACTGTCTTAAATGCGTTTTTGATAGTTCCTACAATGTGTGGTGATTAGTGACCGTTAGTCGTTAATTATTCAGATATCGTGAGATGCGGTCTGGTGTGATGTAGGTTTGAGAAAAACATTTTCTTTATCGTGCCAACGTTTCGATCTTTCAATTAATTAAGGTTTTAAGTTGAGATAAAAAAGTCAGTGTCACGAGCGGGATTCGAACCCACGACCTTCGGCTTGATACGCCGTCACTCTTCCACTTGAGCTATCGTGACTTCGATCCCCTCGGGCACTAACTTCCCACCTCAACCCCACCTTTTGAATTTTTTATTACTTACTGACTTTTTTATCTCAACTTAAAACCTTAATTAATTGAATGTTATTAATTGGTCAAGCGGACCACGAAAAATAGTGAATTTAAGTGTCGATCTTTATTGAGATCATCTTCAGGGATGATCTTCTGTTTATATAGTTGAAAATTATTTTAAAAAATAATTTAAAAAAGTATAACTAGGTTAAAAATGAAATTTAAATAAATTGAATTTATTCTTTAATTTATTATTAGAAATATTTGGTCGATATACGAAAGCATTGGAAAAGAAAGTTTATGTTAACTAGAATTCAACAAATCTACTGTGGATAACGTGGAGGATCTTTTCTACAAGTGACATCTTTTTTCACAAAACTACTCCTTATACAAATTTCTGTTTTATCTCCTTGTTTGCCTACAAATTAAATTTTGTCTTCATTCGATTTACGTATTGCGGGGAGTTTGAAAAATTAATTTATAGCACAATTAATTAAGGTTTTTATTTGAGATAAAAAAGTCAATGGCACGAGCGGGATTCGAACCCACGATATTCGGCTTGATACGCCGCTGCTCTACCACTTGAGCTATCGTGACCTCGATCCACTCGGACACCAACTTCCCATCTCAACCCCACCTTTTGAATTTTGAAGAGGTAGAGCAGCGGCGTATCTAGCAGAAGATCGTGGGTTCGAATCCCGCTCATGACATTGACTTTATTATCTCAACTAAAAACCTTAATTAATTGTAATATATTAATTGGTCATTAGTCACGAAATTAGTGAATTTAATTTATAGCTTTTTTCTTTCTTTTACGAGGGTTCGAGACAGAAGAGGTTATATCTACCCTCGGGGTGCGTGTGTTAAAAACAAAACAAAAAAACATTGTAAGTATGTCGGGTTCGAACCCCGTACCTTTACCTTACATTGATGAGCGCCGTGTCAACACCTAAACCGTTGCGGCCACTGACCAATTTAAAGTTAAATTCAACATAATAAACAAAATTGTCTTGTATAGTTTTGAACTGGATGTAGGCGATAACACCCGGGGTCAGAATTTTTTTAGCAATGAGCCTTCGATCTGTTGGACTAAGTTGATTGCAGAATGTAATTTTTTGTTTTATTGTAACTTCTAATACTTGCCATTGATAGTGTTATTTGCCTTTATATGGCTGTAAATTATCAAAAAATGAGCTATAACTAGGATAAGAATGATATTGAAGTAAATTGAATTATAAAGAAATCTTTGGTCGACATAAAAAAGCATTGGACAAGAAAGTTTATGTTAACTAGAATTCAACAAATCTATTGTGGCTAGCGTGGAGGATCTTTCCTAGAAGGACATCGTTTTTTTCACAAAACTGCTCCATATACAGATTTCTGTTTTATCCCTGTTTGGTTACAAAATACAATTTTAGTCTTCATACGATTTATGCATCGCGGGGAGTTTGAAGAATTAATTTATAGTTTAAATTCAGCTAAAGGGTTAAAATTAAACCGTCGTGTGGAGCTGGATATACGCGATAACACCCGGGGTCAGAAATATTTTGGCGATGAACCTTCCATCTGCTGGACTAAGTTGATCGAATTGCCGAATGTAATGTATGACTAATCCATTTCATTGAGGGAGAAAAAAGCAATTCGTGATGTGAAGAACTTTCATGAAAGCCTTGGTGTGGTCTTTTTTTACGGTTTGTCTTGGGAAAAGCGAAGTCGAGGGACTCGGCTCCCTTTCACGAGTACCAACCCCGATGGGAGCGTGTACGGAGAGATAAGTCCCGATGACCCAATTAACTTGGAAGCCGGTGTGGAGCCGGGAGAAGGCAGGTGGAACGGCGGGCGGCTACTGGAAAGAGAGGCGTGGAGTGAGAAGAGGCCCCCCTCTTGCCCCCACCAGCGGCCGGCCCTCTCTATAAAACGGCCCAGAGGCCAAAACGCCCAGTATTCCAAAATTGCCGCTGGGAGGATGTTCACCACCAGGCTGTTCGAGTTGATGGCCCATTGGGTCGACACGCGGTCCTTCCTCGTCTTCGCCCTGGTGCTGGTCGTGGCCCGGTTGGCGATCGCCTTCGCCCTCAGGATGTCACGTCTTCCCCCCGGCCCTTGGGGGCTCCCTTTTGTCGGATATTTGCCTTTCCTGAAGGCCGACGCTCACATCCAGTTTGAACGGCTCGCCAAAAAATACGGCGGTGTCTTCAGCCTCAAGCTGGGAAATCAGTTCGTGGTCGTTTTGAGTGATTACAAGATCATCAGGGACACCTTCAAAAGAGACGACTGCACTGGCAGACCCCACACCGAATTCTCGACGATTCTGCAAGGATACGGTAATTCAAATTTTTATACTCAAAATCGCGAAATTCGATATACCTTGGGTAGTTCAAGCGGTTCGTCTAAAATCATAAAAAAATTTCATTTATTGTGAGTGATTTAATTTTTATTGGCTCTCGCACACGTTGTAAGATAGATAACCTTCTCCTCAAGGTTGTGAGGGAATGGAATAAAAAAAATAAATTAAAAAAAGCTCTATTTATGACTAAGCTATTTATGACGCATAATTGAAAAAATATATAACAAAACTTTCCTCATTTTTTTAGGGATCGTTAACAGTGACGGCAAACTTTGGAAAGACCAGAGGAAGTTTCTACACGAGAAGCTTAGAAAATTCGGTATGAACTACTCCGGCCAAGGGAAATATCAGATGGCGGCCAGAATCATGGTAAACACACAAAAACAAATATAAACATCATAGATTTTTCTCCGATCCCGAGACTCATGGTTTAATGTTTCCCGTAGAAAGAAGTCGAGTTCTTCCTCCGATCTCTTGTCAAGGAGAAACACACGGACACGGACTTGAACCCGATCTTGTGCACGTCGATCAGCAACGTAGTCTGCACGTTGCTGATGAGCGTCAGATTCGATCAGAAAGATGCGCAGTTCCAGCGCTTCATGCAGTTGTTCGAGGAGGGCTTCCGCCTCTTCGGCTCTCTCAGCTACGCCAACTTTTTCCCTATAATGCGCTACCTCCCTGGCCTTCAGACCGTCAAAAAGAAAATTGAAAAGGTTGGTAAAAAAATTTTTAACAGCGATATAATTATAATAAATAAGTGTTTTTTTAAAATATTTTGATGTTTTATATTTTTAGTAGGTTTTATAAAAATATATTTTTTGTTTTTAGAATCGAAATGAGACTGCAGCGTTTTTCCAGCAGAAGGTCGACTCGCACAGAGAGTCTTTCGACCGGGGCAACATACGGGATCTACTTGACAATTATCTCCTGGAGATCGAGGACGCCAAGGAGGCCGGGAACGACAGCGAACTTTTCGAAGGGAAGCAGCACGACAGGCAGCTGCAACAAATCATCGCCGATATCTTTACCGCCGGGATGGAATCGACAAAGACGACGCTTCTCTGGAGCATAATCTACATGCTTCACGAGCCCGAGGTTGCGAAAAAAGTGCAGAAAGAGCTCGACGACGTCGTCGGACGGCACCGGCTACCGGGTCTCGAGGATCGGCCGTTCCTCCCCTACACGGAAGCCGCGATCCTGGAAACCCTCAGACTGTCCAGCGTCGTACCCCTCGGAACTACACACTCTCCAAAAAAGTGCGTATCTTTTCTTTAGAATATATCTTTGAAAAAAAATTTTTTTTTTCTATTGTGTTTTTCTTTTTTTATAGAGACATTAAATTGGAAGGATACACGATTCCGGCAAATTCGCACGTGATTCCACTCTTGTACGCTGTTCACATGGACCCAAATCTCTGGGACGAACCGGAAGCCTTCAAGCCTGAAAGATTTCTCACAGCCGAGAACAAAATCTTCTGTCCTGACTACTTCCTTCCATTTGGAGTCGGTAAGTGATTCGGAACTAAATTATTTTCCTCCTTTTATGATATTTTTAATATTCAATAAAAAAAAATAAAAAAATCGAGACATAAATAATAATGCGAATTTTTTGTAACTGTGCATCAAGTGCTGTTGTCAGAATATTTTATGTTATTCAGTCAAATCATGTTGATTATAATTTAGAATCGTGCCGGATGATGACAATATTAAATTGTTAGGGGTTAGCGCATAGATATAACACAAATATAATTTTAATTTTTTTTTAATGATAACAGATTGATAATTTTGAATTTTTTCTTTTGTTAACAGGAAGGCGCATGTGTCTGGGAGCGGTACTCGCGAGGCTGGAACTGTTCCAGTTCTTCGCCAGTTTCATGCACACGTTTCACGCGAGGGTGCCGGAGGACTGTCCGCCGCCCAGTTTGAGGCCGAACATCGGAGTCACCCTGACGCCCGAACACTTCAGAGTCAGCCTGACGCAACGGCCGCTCCAGGATTCCAGCCTGGAATTCCTGAATTCGGCCCCGGGGGTGCGGAGCGTCGGAGCCCACTAAAACCCGCGACAATCGCCCAACCATCGTTCCTCGTTCCGACAAACACATTGAATTCGGATTTTGTTTTTAGACGTTTTTTTAGAATTTTTAGATTCGAGTCGAAAAGACTGATTTGTTTTGTTATTGTTTGATTTGATCCGGTGGTCAAAGCTCAAATCAATTTATCGAAAGCTATTATCTGGAATTGTGTTGCACAATATACCTCCACGTCAATATTTTTTTAAGTCGTCATCAATCAGCTAAAGTGCCATATCGTTAAGCGTCTTTTTCTGAGACATTCCTTGAATTTTGTGTTCATCGTCTTATTTATTTAGACTTCGGCTGTGTACTCTTAGATAATAAGCCTGGTCTTTTGTGTTCATTTGTCTTGTCAAACGATTTTTTTTTCTCATGTGTTCTTGATGTTGGTTCCTGTCTCTAGTCATAATTTAAACTTCAGGGTCCGCGGATGGGGCAACGTTACGCTCGCTCCTAGCCCGATGCCCATTTGGCAACGGACGTCTCTAACCAGACCCTCTTCGGATTTTGCTCTGCAGTTTTACCAACACAGGCATGACCCATTTTGAATAAAATATGTTTTTTTATTATTGTATAAATTATTTTATTAAGACGAGATTACGTCTCATGTATACGAACGTTTTTATATTTCTTTTTTTAATAAAAAAGTAAACTTTACATGTACTGATTTTTTTTTCCTAAAAAACAAAATAAGCCCAACCTATCATTTCCTAAAATAATATATCTAAGTTGAATTTTGCTTTGGTGTTTACACAGGCTGAATTATTGTGTATTTATGTATGAAGCTCTAAAATTAAACATAAAATATTTCTCTCCTTGATATTTGCCAATCCATTTTATAAAATTACAAAATATGGACAAAGCAAAAAATAAATTTAAACCAACCTTTGGCTTTTCACTGTAAGGCAAGTAATGATTAAATAACCTGAAATATGTTCTAAATCAAAAGGACTGCTCAGTTTTGAGTACTAAGATCCTAAATATTGAAAATATTTAAAATATAAAACTATTTTCAAGTCAAAATTTTAAAAATAGTTATTATTTCAACCTACCATTTTAAAAGGATGAATTTATCGATGTGAAAGTACCTGGAGTAGATTTATTTTGTCTCTGTTATAAAAAATAAAATAAAAATAAACTATGATTTTAAGCCGGTATAAATATTAAATTTTAACGACAATTACGTATTAAAGATTTCGATGTTAATTAAAATAATAATTCAAGTAAAAATAGTGTAATTGTTTGAACTCAGCTAATCTCACTGCCCTAAATAATTCTAGAACGGGATGAAAATATTTAGAGTAACAGTGCGTTGCCCACCGGGTTCAACGGTTTTATCGTTTTCTTTTAGAGGAAAACCGATTTTTTTTGTCAAGCATCCTGACGTTAAGACGGTTTTCACATGTCGTAATGAAATTCATGTCAGTGTGTCAGGAAACGATAACAATGGGTTACGTCCGGTTACATAAGGTTAAAAACGGCCCAGTTAAGTAGGTTTGTTTGAAAATCGGTGAATATTTTTCGGCTAGTGCAGCTGTTTTGAACGTCAAATGGGTCATCCGTTTGATAATTGTTCAAATTTATCCCGAAAACATTGTTATGCAATGGCACGTTGCAATCTCGGGGTGATAAAGGTTTTAAAGGCCTTGCGAAAACTGCAAGCGTGCGTTTAAGCGGAAGGCGATCGTCGACCTTTCCGTTCTTAAAAAATCGCTGACAAATCGGCTGTCTGTTACATACGTGGAGAACAATCGGATCTAACTTTGCTCGCTGAGATGTGCCACTTACACGAACGTCAACATCAACAACGTCGGGCGATAATGATTTAAAAACCGCCGTTTTCCATACGATGACGGTGTAGTTCGGCGATGTTCCATTTTTCCGTTATCTCGCCGGCTGCCTGCAATGGAATCCTCCCATAAAAAGGGAGTGGTCGCATTTTGGGACCGGTTGTTGTGTCATTGATAACCGAGCGATTGTGCAAGGGCGGTCGGTCTTTTGATGGTGCGGGGGGTGGGCCAAGGTCGACTTTTCTAAGGCGGCGAAGACCGTTCCGCAAGTCCTAGGAGTCGTGCGGGCTTTAGCGCCGTCATACTGTCGGCTGACCACTGTTCACACGAAAACGGCCGATTTACTCAGCAATCGTCAACTAACAATAAAACGTGTTGTGCTTAGTGACCGATAGTCAATGATTATTCGAAGATCGGTCTGGTGTGACATAGGTTTTAGAAAAACATTTTCTTTATCGTGCCAACGTTTCGATCTTTATTGAGATCATCTTCAGGGCCTGTAATTTATAAACTTTGTTTAAATTTTACAAATACATGTGGGATGTGAAAAAATGAATTTATACATCCTAGCAATTTTAGATACAAAAAAATTTATACAATGCTAAAAAATTTTAGATTAAAAAAAATGAATTTATGCAATGCTAGGAAATCTTAGATTCAATCAAAGTATTAGGAAAACATGCATTTTGGCTGAGTACGAAACTCTGATCGAATCGAAAATTTCCTAGCATTTGATAAATTCATTATTTCAATCAATAATTTTTCTAGCATTGAATAAATTTATTTTTTTAAATCAAATTTTTTTCTAGCATTGTATAAATTCATTTTTTTATCTACAATTTCTAGCAATGTACACATTCATTTTTTCACATCCTACACGTATTTGTAAAATTTAAGCAATTTTTATAAATCTTAAAGATGATCTCAATAAAGATCGAAACGTTGGCACGATAAAGAAAATGTTTTTCTAAAACCTATGTCATACCAGACCGATCTTCGAATAATCATTGACTAACGGTCACCAAACACCACACGTTTTATTGTTAGTTGACGATTGCTGAGTAAATCGGCCGTAACTGTGATTATTCGGAGGTGTTGAGATGCGGTCTGGTGTGATGCAGGTTTCGGAAAAACATTTTCTTTATCGTGCCAACGTTTCGATCTTTATTGAGATCATCTTCAGGGACTGGGAGTTACAAACATTGTTTAAAATTTACAAATACATGTAGAATGTGAAAAAATGAATTTATACAATCTAAAATTTTTATATAAAATAAATAAAATCAATTTATACAATGCTAGAAAATTTTAGATATAAATTTTAAAAAAAATACAATGCAAGAAAAGTTTAGATTGAGTGAGGCACTCTCAACACGACACACAAAAATGACACATCTACACGGAAAACAAACACTTTGATTGAATCTAAAATTTTCTAGCATTGTATAAATTCATTTTTTTAATCTAAAATTTTCTAGCATTTTTCTATCTAAAATTTATAAAATTTTTTAGCATGGTATAAATTCATAACTTTGAGTGAGTACACATACTTTGATTGAATGTAAAATTTTCTAGCATTGTATAAATTCAATTTTTTCCATATCCTACATGTATTTGTAAAATTTAAACAATCTTTATAAATCCCAGGCCCTGAAGATCATCTCAATAAAAATCGAAACGTTGGCACGATAAAGAAAATGTTTTTCTAAAACCTACGTCACACCAGATCGCATCTCACGATCTCTGAATAATTAATTACAATAAAATGTTTAGATTTTAAAATTTACTCGGATGTGGCTTAATGCGCCAACCAGCCTTCAATACGATGTTGATTAGGATTCGGGTTGTGGGCTTTTGGTTTTGGTTTATTGTGGGTCCTTTAAGGAATGAGTATATTCCGTCTTTTAAGGTTTGATTAACAACCTTGAGGCCGGTGATCTGCCTCAAAATCAAAGGAATTTTGATTTGAAATAAATCTTGAACACAATTGCCGAGGGACACTTCTATTTTGTTTCTTTTAAAACAAAAAATGTATTTCCTTATGAATCAAGACACGTTATATAAAAAATATAAAACAACAAAACATAACCTTTGCTTACAAACTAACAATATAAGAATAATTAGATACTATGGGAATAATATAGGCCTGAGGGGCAAAATTAAAATAATCAACCTTGATAACTAAAATGGAAAATACCTAAAAAAACAACCATAAATGAAAATGGGCCACACAACAGTAATAATTTATACTAATAAAAATTAAATTGATACAAATCTGATTTGACTAGCTTTCAGCTGGATATTTTCTTATTGTTTTTCTTCCAATGCCTAGGCTAGACTGAACTATCCGTTCTTGCTTTCCTGCCTCCAGCATGGAGGGGAGAGCCTGGACATAATTTGTTGTTATAGGTTGAGATAAAAAAGCTAGTTCACGAGCGGGATTCGAACCCTGGACCTTAGACTAAATTCGCCTCTGCTGCTGAACCATTTCAGCAATCGTGACTTCGATCCCCTCGGACACCAATTAGCCAAAGATCGTGGGTTCGTATCTGTCTCGTGTCACTAGCTTTTTCATCTCAACCAAAACCTTAAATTAAATGTATAATTAATTCAAATAATTAATACGGTCAATTATGACTCTAAATACATATATGGATTAAACTTTAAATTTGGACTGTGGGACACCTCTAAACCATCCAATAGCCATAGTTTACAGTCCTTCAAAACCAAAACCCCGCACAGTCCCCCCTCCAATTCCAAAATCCCATTACAAAGAAAATTGTAAATAGTAAGACGACCTTGGGGGCCGCTGTAGCGGAGTGGTTAAGGCGTCAGACTCTTGGCTAGTAGATCCCGCGGTCGAGGGTTCGATCCCCACCATCGCCTCTGGACTTGTTCTGACGCATAAGGGGACCGGTGGCCGCAATTGAAAGAAATTGACACGGCACTCATCAATGGAAGGGGCGGGATTAGATCTCAGTGACCCTGAATTTGGTCCCAACCCCCTTCAAAAATTAGTTTCTTATGGAAGAACACCGGCACACCGGGGGCTCAAATTCACACTTGTGTTGCGAGCCCCCAAAAAATGGAGCCGGGGATAAAGTACAATAAGGGAGGGAAATCCTCTAGTTCTTGGTTTCCATTGAAAAAAAGAAAAAAAAAGACGACCAATGGTATCCCATACACCACAAATTAATTGACCAAAAATGTTCCAAATTTCTCTGTTTGCGCCGATCGCCCTTTTGAACCCTTATCACAATGAAACAAAAGACAAAGTGGCAGGTATTTAAATGCTTCTTCCTATTCTGAAACATTTTGCTTATCATATCTTTTGCTGAAGATTATTTTAAAATCTGCAATGTTTTGTCCGGCATTAAAATAAGTAGCAGAATCCTGCTTATTTTCCAAGATAAACACATAAAAGTGTGTCTTTTCGTATTGAAAGCTACTCTTCTTCCGTCTATTCCTTCTTATGAAATTTCTCTTTTACATGATTTTAATATTATAATATTAGGGATTATTAGGATCTATAGTAAATTCTAGGTGTTCATACCTTGTGCAACAGAAAACCCATCTGTATATGCACGTAATGCGTCTGAAGTAGAAATGGCCACAAGATTTTCATTCTTTCAGAAATAGGTGTAGGTAAAAAAAAAATAGGCGCTGGCGAAAAGAGTTCATGGATGGGGTATTATCAGTTATCTACTTGCAAATAATATAAAATTACGCATTGTATTTAAATAAGATTTATTTAATTATTTATTTATAATTGACTAAATATCTAAACGATTTATGTTCAAAATTGCTCCCCCCCCCAAACAATTGTCTATATATTTTGACAAGAAATCTAAACGATAAGATAAAGTAGATTTACGAACATCGGAGAAAGATTGGCTTGGGGTCGGACTGGGTTGCCATACTTTCCACAAGAAAAGGTGTTTTAAGACCTACTCGACCACCTTGGAAAACAATCATAACAGCCAGGTCAAATAATCAAATCCCTTGACGAATTAGAAACTCACTGAACTACAAGTACAATATGAGCTCTATAAATCATAGAAATAATCACAGCAGTGTCAGTTTAATTTCTATACTAAAACGAGTTCTTGACGGCTGTCGAAAACAGATTATCAGTTAAGCTGAGTTTAACCCCAAATCACGCCGGGTAGGCTAAAACCTATTTCTACCTGGTTCAACATGCTTCAACTGTCAAAACGATGTCCAAATATTAAGACTTATTCTCTTTGCAATAATTTAGAAAAAGAGGGAGAAAGGCTCGTAAATTATTGTGTTCTAGCTGAGTAACAGGTTGAAAAACTGTTTTGTTTCAGTTTCATTTCGATTCAAAGTTCAGTGAAAGTTGTATAATGCTTTGCGTCCGTAAATAAGCACCTATTACTTTAAAATTAGTATGTAGAAGCACAATATATAGAAAATCTATTATATTTAGTGGTCTATTGACCAAATTACTTTTTTCAATTATTATTCAGAAATCGTGAGAATACTCACGAGAATAATCACCACACATTTTTTCAATTAATTCATCTTTTTATGTATGGTTTTTGGTTGAAATGAAAAAGTTAATGCCATGAGCGGGATTCGAACCCACGACCTTCCGCTAAATGCGCCGCTGCTCTACCACTTGAGCTATCGTGACTTCGATCCTCTCGGACACCAACTTCCCATCTCAATCTACAATTTTTCGAATTTTCCCTCCATATTGCCATTTTTCAAATTCATTTTGCCAATTCATATACCGCCGAGAATCGAATCCTGATTACATGACATTTGAAAAATGGTAAAAATGAGGGAAAATTCGAAAGGGCGTAGGCTGAGATGGAAAGTTGGTGTCCGAAAGGATCGAAGTCACGACAGCTCAAGTGGTAGAGCAGCGGCGTATTTAGCCGAAGGTCGTGGGTTCGAATCCCGCTCGTGGCATTAACTTTTTCATTTCAACCAAAAACCTTACATAAAACGATTAATTATATAGAAAATATAGAAAAGAAACATACAGAATTAATTACAATTAATTGATCAAGCGGACCACGAAATTAGTGAATACAGAATTAACGGAAAATATGTTGAATGAAATATTTGGTTGAGTTATATGAAGTATCATCACGTCAGATAGACTTTTCCATTAAAGGGCGAACAATAAATACAAATATTGAAAGCAAAACATTTAATAAAATATTCATTTTGATTATTTACATTCGAACAAAACCTGACAACTGACCAAATCATGTTCCATCCGCTTGCACACTGGTCTTCTCTTGAAATACGAGATGATGGCTCTCAGGGCTGAATGTGATGCCCATGTTGCCTTCCAACGCTTTCTGAAGATCATCACCCTTTTCTAATACGCGGACGACGAATCTGCACAGGATGCCGGCTCCAAACAGAAACAGCATCATCTTAGCCATTTCCTCGCCTAGGCAAATCCTTTTCCCTGTAACCAGTGGTCGTAATGTTATCAAATTGACTATTTGACTGTAAGCAAGGTAGTAACACAGATTGCTGAAAAGTTCAACGTGTTGAATTGTTTTAAACATCAAAACGCATGCAGGAAATGTCAATGTTTTGAAAGCACCAAAGTACCATCGCCAGAAAAAAAAATACACAGGCCAACCACTGAAACTCGCTACTGCAAATGACAAAAAGCCCAAAACAGACGAGTCAGATTAAAACAGCGAAGATGCAGACCTACCTCAAGAAGAAATGTCACATGTTAGAAAACTTTGTCTTTCTTAAAAAAATATATATAAAAAATTTGGTTTTATAAGACACAATTATGTATGTAATATAAGTGTTACATCCATAAGAAGGTCTTTAGAAATGACTGATATTTTATTCTGCCGAAATAGTTGAGTTTTTCTATTTTCATAAATTTTAATTACCGCATTGAAACGGCATGAAGTTGTGGTGATTTTTAATCACTTTTCCTTCCGAATCGATAAACCTTTCGGGTCGGAAAGACTCCGGGTCGTCCCATACCTCCGGATCCATATGGACAGCCCATTGGAGTACCATGATCATCGCGCCTCGAGGGATTCTGTATCCTCCTAGATCCGTCTCCTCCCACGTACCATGCGGAATGCCTGTAAAAAATATATTTTTCAATTTGGTTGATTTTTTTTTAAACCATTTATTTACTAATTTATTTCGCAACATTTCGAAAGGTTAACGATTCTGATTTTATTAGTGCCACGAGGACGATATATTTAGATTAGTAAAGCAAATGGTCTTTTAATGCGAATCGATAACACTGACACCTAAATATTGATGTATTCTTTTCCCTCAGGCCGTTTTAGATTGTAATAAAAATGAATTTTTCATCATTCTTCTCACTGTGCTATTTTTTTATTTTATATACGTATTTGTTTTGATGACTTACCCAGAGGTGTGATCACTCGGATCCTTTGGGTTTCAAACAGACATGCCATGGTGTACGGCAAGTTTTCCATGTCTTCCAAGGTCGGATCTTGCCGGCCGTTTAGCGCCTTTTCCAACTCCTCCCTCACTCTGCTCTGGTAAGTTAAAAATTCTAGTTAAAAGAGTAGACTATAAAATAGTAATCAGAAAGGAAGATTTAAGATTAGCTAGATTTGAGATTTCAATTTAAAAAAATATAGTTTTTAGTGCTTTTAATTTCTCAATATCAATTTGTCAATGGTTAACGAGGTAGTAGAGGCTATCTTCGAGAAATGATCCATGATGGTAAATAATTTTCGTCCTCATCGCTCAAGAATTTGCCACCCTGTTCAAGCAAGTCTTCATCGATCGTAACGGTCTGATTTCGAATTTAATTATAGTGAAATAGTGTTGCTTTTAATCTTTAATTTGGAAAAAGCTTGCTCTGTCCCCGAATTGTAATATGGGATCTCTGAATTGTTCTTAAAGAAATGTGATTCCTGTCCGAACCTCTCTATTCTTAAGGGACCTTTCCAGAATGATGGAAGATTACTTATGCTCTTCCCGAGCTTAAAAATTTATTTGTAACTTTGTACGTTTGATGGATTATTCTTTTGTAGAATGTCATCACATTTTAACCCTCTTAAAAAATGTTTGTTTATGTCATTAGCATTTCGTTGCTTGGGGATAATTCAGCCATTACTAACATGTCAACGCATGAATTTCGTTGTACGAGTTTAAACTCGGCCGGATACATTAATGAGGTCTGGGGCGACGACAGTGTGAGTGAGAGCACCGTTTAGAGATGGTTTAAAAAATTTCGACAAAGAGGCATTAGTCTTGAGGACAAAGAAGGTCGTGGAAGGATTTCTTCCCTAGATGATGATGATGACGTTCTGCCAGATTTGGTCCAAGAAAACCCCAGAATAACTGTTCGAGAACTCGCTGAGAATCTTTCAGTTAGCAAATCGACCGTCGCTGACGAAAGTTGGGTTCCTCATGCATTAAAGAACGGCCAAAATATTCTCGTGAAGTTTGTGCAACACTTCTTTACCGGTACAGAAACGAACCTTTCCTGTAAAGAATTGTTACTTGTGATGAAAAATGGATTCTCTTCGATTACAGCAGACGTTCTGGACAGCGGTTCGACAATGGAGAAGCAAAACCACATTTTCCAAAGCCCAGAAGTCATCAAAAATGGTGATACCTTGGTGGGCTTAATTCGGGCTGATTTACTACAGCTTCTTGAATCCTGGCGAGACAATCAATCCAAAATGTATTGCTTTCAAATTGAAGCAATGCGCCAGAAATCGGCTTAAAAGCCATCTTTGGTCAATCGTAACCGGCTGATTGAGTGATGGATTGAGAGTTATGGAGGGTATTTTAATGAATAAAAAATGTTTAAAATAATTTATTTAATTGTTTTTATTTTATAACCATAAACCTGCATCTTTTTGCTGACAACCTAATAGGAACAGCGAAAACTTTGTTTGATACTTTGTTTTATATGTTGGAACAGATGAAGAAATCAAGCAGGTAGGGTCGTTTACTTGGGGAAGATGGCCAGAAGGACATATATGGGAATAATTAGTTTGTGAAAGCATGTTTTGAAACAGCTGTCTGCGAGGAGTAGCCACTCGGCTACCCTAACTTAGGTGCTTCACGTTGAAGTCACCACCACAAATGAATCTTGACCCGAGGGAATAGAAGAATGAGAAGAATTGATCATGATGGATAGTATGATTTGGTGGCCAATGGGTGGAAGAAGGCCTAAGGAACAGGATAATCACATCCACCTTGGGCGGAGCGACTATCGGGGCTAAGAAAGGCAGGGGGTGCCCGCAAGGGGGGCACCTCTCACCTCTACTGTGGACGACGCTGGTAGACGAGCTCCTACAAATGTTGGAACTAGAAGGATTCTACTGCCTAGACTATGCGGATGACCTTGCCGTAGTAGTCAAAGGCCGCCATGCGAACATCTGGTGGATCGAATACAACGTGCCCTCAATCTGGTAGACGGATGGTGCAAAAGGGAGGAGTTATCAATCAACCCGCATGAAACCATAATGATTCCATCCACAAGGAAGAGGACAACAGAAAGCTTAAAAACTCCAAGCCTAAACAGGAATCTGACTCCATTTTCCAAGGAGGCCAAATATCTAGGGATTACACTAGACCTTCGGCTCATGTGGAATTCAAACCAAACTAAAACTACCCAAAGAACTAAAATTGCCTACCTGGGGGAGGTGCAGAAGGCTCTGCTCCAAGAACTGGGGTCTAAACCCCAAAATGACCCTTTGGCTATACACCTGTGTCCTAAGACGGTGTGGTGGACCAAAACTCTACAGGCCAAAGCAATAAGGCATATATAATATAATATTAAGTGGCACACAAAGACAAGCTTGTCTCAGTGTCACTAGTGCCATGAGCGCAACGCCAACGACGGCCCTGGAAGTTTTGTTAAACCTCCCAACACTTCACATTTTAATCCGAGGAGAAGCCAGAGCAGCAGCCCACAGGCTCATAAATGGACAACCATCTGCTAGGATAGGCCGTGTAAATTAATAATGGAAACTGACGAGGAGCCATTTTAGGCATGCCAATTGATGCCTCTACTCCAAAGTACAACTTTACTAAAAAGTACAAAGTACTGATACCAGGATGGGAAGAATGGGGCAAAGGAACACCGCTAAAGGCAAACCCCTACTGGTATACTGACGGCTCCAAAACCGACAAGGGTACGGGAACTGGGGGTCTAGGTAAATATGCTACAGTTTTCCAGTTTGAAATCATAGCGACTGAACAAAACGCCAGAGAAATAAAAAGGCTAGGAATACATTCCCGGAAAATAGACATTTTCTCTGAAAGCCAGGCACCTCATGCGAGCCGAAGGCAAAGAGTGTTTGGAACAGCATGGAGGCCCTGACCTGACCCTGGCATGGGTCCCTGGACATTCGGGGCTTAGAGGCAACGAAAAGTTTGACATGTTGGCAAAAGGGGGCCAACATAAACTCTCTGGACGCAGAACCCTACTGCGGCTTAGCAGCCCGCCACAAAAGAGGATACATTTTAAAATGGATCCTTAATGAGTCCAAAATCTGATGGAACAATACCACAAGTATGAGGCACGCAAAGGGATTCATAGAAGGACCATCTACAAAACTTATAACTTATAAACTTATAACAGGAAGGCAACCGCAACCGAACCAGGATACTGTTTGGACACCTGACAGGGCACTTGCCAGTTGAGAAAGCACGTGTACCGAATAGGAGTACAGACAGAAGAAACACTGTGCAGATACATCCAGGAAGATGAGGAGACCGCAGAACACATTATATGTTTCTGTGAAGGTCTATGTAAGTGCGGGTTCTTGCAACTAGGACAAGAAAAAACACAAGCAAGATCCTTCACCAAGGAGCCGCTGTCAAAGCTGTGGAGGCTGGTTAAAATCTGAACTGGCCAGTGAATTATAAATAACAGGGGAGCACAATAGAACTATTCAGGTCGAGGTGCTGTAGGCTTTGTGGCCGCCTCTTTTATCCCTATCCCTATCCCTTTGATTTGGTGGACAGCTGCAAATTCATAAGAGAATAATAATAGAGAATAGCATCCAATACAATACAATAGTATCCACCACTGTCACCATAATGTAAATAAGGTACAGATGGTACTAAATATATTTAAAAAATTATCCAACAATTGAATATTTCAAGCAATTGCAGAATGAAGGACTCAGTTTCAAGTTCGAACCTCACATAGTTTGGGGTGGTTATGTAATCTAGTAAACCCATAACCTAACCATCCCTAACCTCACACAGTTACTAAGTGCATTTATGAGTAGGTGAAATTAAATTGTAATAACATTATGTATGTATAAATTATTTGTACGACACCTCGATATTCAAAGGGTAAATAAGTATTTAGTCTAAATAATAGATGATTATGTTGTACTTATTTTTTTAAATAAAGACTATATTATTATTAGCATGTTTTAATCAAGACAAGTAAGTCGGATATTTCGAAGCTATGCAGCAGAAAAGGGCGATTCATTCCGACCAGAAATCCTTTTAAAAGTGGGACAGCTTCGTCTTCTGGTGGTGGGAGAGAGGAACCTCCGACATTCGAAATCTCTGCAGAACTGGACAGGAGCACAAAAGCGGAGCATTATGTCTCATGTTTTCGTCATTGTGATCCGGAATCAAGGTTCACCGGTTTACTAGATTACATCCAACAGTGTTGAAGCACTGGCATTATATTATAATGACGTGATTAAATCTGTCCAGTTGACTAGGTAATTATATTCAAATTAAAGTCAATTTTCAGCTTGTAGTTATAAAATGTTTATTTCAGGATTTCGCTTCCCTTTCTTTACGGATAAAATACGTTAATTACCTGTATGGAGGGGTTGACCGCCATGAAAAGCAGGAACCACCTGAGCGTGGAGAGCGTGGTGTCGGTTCCGGCCCCAAACATGTCCGCCAAAACGTGGAACATCTGTTTTTCCTCAAAATGTCTTCCTTGCGAGTTCGCCATGGCCGCTTTATAATTGGCGAGGAGATGTTCGCCGTCCGTCGACGAGCCGTCCGAGATCTCCTTGTAGACCTTGTGCGTCTCCGACTTTCCGTCTTTCAGGTAGCGCAACAAACGGTTGTAACCAGGCCACCACCTACGGACGGACTACCATTACAATCTAATCTACCTTAGATTACGAGTAATTTCGTGAGCCCCGCAGGTCAGTAATACAGGTCTCTGGGTCACATTTACAGAATCGGATTTCTTGGACGAGAAAGTGACCACGACCGGCCTCTCTTTCGATACACTTTTCACTTCAAATGACTTTTCATTTCAACCTCGGAATACGGGTAAAGCATGCGATTGTGAATTAGAAACTACAAAGTAAAGTCAAGATTTTTTGAGAAAACTCACCTCAAAAAAGGCAAGAAATTGACAGGCCCTACAATGCCGATTAGTTTGATTCCGTCTGCTAGAAGACGCCTTAGCCAGATCCACTGGGGGTCGTCGTATGCCCATGTCTTTCCGAAGACGACCAAGTTGATCACGTTGCCGATGGAGTGAAGAAGGATGTTGTGAGGATCCTCCGCTTTTCCATCGAGTCGACTCAGCATCTGTGGAGTAAACGGATAATAATTGTCCGATTCGGATCGTTTATGTTTTACATTACCCCGACTGCTTCACGGACGCCTTCGAGAATTTTCTTCTCCATCAACGCCCTCTTTGCGCCGACTTTCACGACTCCGAGCCCCTTCAGGAAAGACGACACGAAACGTCGCTGCTCCTTCCATTTTTCACCTTCGGCAGCGATCAGCCCTGAAAATGTCCGACTAAAGACTGTGAATACTTTCGGTCATGGACTATCCAACTATCATGGTTTCTCCCATGAAAACCCATCCCACAGCCTAGCAAACTTTTTTTAAAGAATCTTTAAATTTTCTGATCAGAAGGTGTCAGTAATATTAAATGAGGCATATTATTAAGTTTAAAAAATAGCCGTTAAAAAAAATTTAAAAAAACAAGAACGGCCGTTTGCTTGATCTCACGTCGGTACCACGTGGGGGGGGGGGTCGAAAAACATTGCACCACAATTTCAACTGTACAATGCTCTACAAAATGGTTAACTTTTTAAATAAATTAGGTCATCAAAGGTACAAGAAGAGGTATGGCTTATATATATTGATTAAATTAGGAGCTCGATCCAATACAGATCTTGGTTCGACGGTGAGTCAACCAAAGCTGCTTAATGCCATGGCCATTTTGAGTATATTATTTCTAACTGTCCGCCCTATAGTTCAGAGTTCATAACATCCTCCAAGGATTGACTTGTGATGAAGAAATCATTAGTAGTTCCAGAATGTCTAGAACGGACTAGCAGCAAATTACAAAACCGGCTAATCGCAAACTATCCATTGACAACGAGTGGGTGTAACCAAACAACAAAAATTTCATCGTACATGATAATCCTTTGGTAAAGTTTCAGATCCCGTCGATTTTTTAAACGTTTTTCGCAAGTTACAACCCTTTTTGTGGCTTGGTTGGAAGCAAGTAGGTGTTGGAACTGTCTACTTTTTTTTAACGTTACCTAAGGCGTAGATCAACTCACATTCTATTATGGAAAACAGAAACCGGCCATTTTGATTTTACACGATCTATTATATTCATACAAACGAACTTAAATGTTTCTTTATGTCATAGTTCTTTATGTTGTTTTGAATTGCAAACAATGCACCTACGGTATATCATATAATGAATAGACTTCTAGTGGTTGTATCTCGATGTACGTGTGTGTTTTTAAATCACGAGTTTTATAAATTTTTATTTATTATAATAGCTGAGAATAAGAATGAAATAAACGAATTGCGCTCGTAAGGCTTGGCAGATCTCCTTGGGTTGCAAGACCGTTCGTCATCACCCTGGAATTACTGTAGTCGTCAAGCTTAATGGAAAACTCGACCCAGTCGTTATATCTATCTTTTGAAATAAATTAGAAAGTTAATTAGCCCATTAAGATATGTTCTGGCTATCATATTCTGTGTGTGAGTCAGACCACGTGACCTGGCGATCCACGTGTTAATAAACGGAACTTAATCGAACGATACGTAAGAGTAATATATATTTTTAACTTTTTTAAATGAAATTTTGAAAAAAAAGGCCATAAAGGGTGCTATTACTAAAGTAGCCTCTGGCTATGCTTTTAGATACAAAACAGTTTTTTTTAATTACACAATTTAGAGCAGCGGCGTATTTAGCCAAAGGTCGTGGGTTCGAATCCCGCTCGTGACACTGAATTTTTATCTCAACCAATACTTTACATAAAGAATAATTAATTGAAAGTTTTTTTTAATGTTTAAACCAATGTACATATCATTAAACTGGGAAGTAATAAGAATACATTCTGACATATAGCGGAAATCGGCGGACCAAATGTGACATTAATGGCGAACTTATCAATTACAGGGTAAAGTCAGGGATTGGGACGGTAATCTTTGTTGCTCGACAAGAATAAAACATACATAATGCGAAGCCCTTCAGTCACAAGCGCCTGGTTTAGTTTCCTTCATATGTATGCCTAAAAGGTTGTTACACCTCGTTCTCTGCCCTAGATTGTTCTAAGATACTGCCATAGATAAAATGTAACTGGGTTTAATAAGTAAAGAAGATTTTAATCTATTAAAAACAGTGATAATCAATTCCAGTTTGATATATACCGAAAACAGTTATATGCCAATATATATACCAACGACAGATAACACAAGAGCTGACACAAACCACCCAAACAGACTTAAACTGCATCCCTAAATTACAAGAGAGGCAGACTAAATTCAGAACTATTATCCAATGAGAAGTACAAACAATAACAGCATAATCTGCCACAACATAAATACAATAAATAAACTATTAAACAAACGAGGCAAAAACAAAACGACACCTCACAAACTTATAGGGCAAGTTATATATTTACATAGAATGAGACTTATAAACTAGCCAATATATTTAACATATTAAGCACATATACAGCACTGAAGAAAAAAAACATAATTCGTTAACTCGTGAAGCAAAACATAGATAAGACTGACGAAACAAGTAAAACGGCATCTACAGAGTAATTCACTACCCATACGACAAAGTTCATTTTTCAACATTTCAAATGCAACAAAAAGGTTCGTATGAACCAGGGTCTGATGTTCATCCGTTTCGGACATAAAATTTTTTCAACTATCTACGGTTTTTGTTATAAAACTACTCGTAGCTCTTGAACTAGTGTCGTACGAGTAGTGGATCACTCTGCCTGTAACGTACAAAGGCGGAGACAAAATACACCGGGCAGACAGGAAGATTAAAGGTAGAAATCTAAGGTCATTTCGGGAAAATCGAACTATGTAACCTTGCTCAAAAATACAGACATTCTTAAAATTTACTTCATGACGTACAGAAACATAGAAAAACTTAGTAATACACAAAACACGAAAAATATTATAAAGAGACAAATCAACAACTCAGACCTCAACGACAAAAGGCAGAGGAAACTAATCTTAAGCAACTAATCTGCAGATTCATCTCCCACTTATTATACAAATATTTAAAATCTTGAACGATTCGAAATTTAGAATAATAATTGTTGGATAGTCGCTTGTACATACCAAGAAAATGGAGGAAGTGCACCAACTACATGGAACATTCCAAATGTAACGTCGCAGGGGTGAGGATTAGGACGCCTGAGTCGGATTTGCCAAGCAATCGGTTCTGGGATCGAATCTCGGTACAGCACCATGAGATTTTAAATGAGGATAATATGGAAAAAAGGATTATAAAATTATGGAATTAATTATGGGCTTTAATTTTACCGTTACTTCTTAGTTGCATCCCATTCTTGCTTGCTTCCCATTCACCCATCCACATGTTGGGACAGGAGTCCTGAAGGTAGTGTTCTTTGACCAATCCTTTACGTTATATATATTCCTGACATCCCTAATCACTCCAATACTTCCCTGTTCACATTTGCCGATGACACTGCAATCCTGTCCAATAATAATCCCTTGTCGTTCCCTACTTTCTCACCTTGCCCTTGGGCAAAGAAGTGGAGGATAAAAATAAATGCCAGTACATCAATTTCACATTACAGCGAGTGATCCTTCCTCTTGTATATCTCAACGGTGTTCCTCTACTCATGCTAGTTAGTACATCGACGGTTCATATGGAATTCCCAAACTAGACTTAAACGACAAGTACTGAATAGTCGATACAAACCACACTCTCGACTCTTAGACAGATAATCCAAAGTATCCCTTAACAATTAACAACTACAAAACATTACTCATTAAGGCAGTAGAATATGTATATGAAGAAAGTGAATCATTATTAATTTCGTCGGACTCAAAAAGTTCCTTGGAGAGTTTGAAGAATTTTAAACTTGATTCAGATAACAACTATCTTGTAACATTGGTAATTAAAAAGGTCCTCATTAAATCGTCAAAAGGAGTGAATACACGATTCCTGTGGGCGCGTGGACACTCCGGCAGCAGGGGTAAAACTAAAGTAGACGGTTTGGCGAGAGAGTCCGTACTAGATGGTGTAGTATCTCCCATCCCTCCCTTGCAAGATGCAAACAGTGTAATTAAGACCCAAAATTGGATAAAGTGGCATAAGTATAGTGAAAGCATACAAACTGGAAAATTCTATATTTCTGTAAACCCTCAGTTGTGTAAAAAACCTTGGTTTCAAAATGTTCCATTTTCCAAGAGGGTTATGAATAGGCTTAGGTCTAGTCAAGGAATTTGTGGAATTTACCTTCATAAAATAAACCAGAAGCAGAAGATCAATGTAAATTCTGCAAAATCCCCGAAGACTTAGAACATAAGATGACATGATCTGTCCAGAGTACTTAATTGAGAGGAGCTATTTTTTGGATAGCAACTCCTAGATTTTGTTTATAGGTGTTGCATGAAAATTTGAAATGAGCCCCTTGCCCTAACTAAAGAGGGCTGTGTCTGTTGGAGCCTGGACGCGGCTTGTCTGCGGTGGGGTTTTTAGGGCTCCCTGAGCAAGTTTGGCTCCGGGGGTTTGGGAGATGTGAACTTTTCCAGATCCATATCTCCAAAACGGACCCTCGTAATGGATTTAAAATTAGACCTTTAAGATTGAGAATATGAGAGGGGAGCCGTCATTCCCTGTTCCTTCGCTGCGGCATGGACATATTCAGGCATAGCATCCAAACTACTAACGAACCCAATCGTTCCAATCCAAACCCAACAGTTGTATAGCAAATGCTCCTTTCTATGTGTTCAATCGTACCCTTCACCATGACCTCAACATCCCTGATGCTTCCCTCGCCATCAAATCAGTACAGCGCAAATTTAACTTCTCCTGATGATTCCCATCTCTTAGTAACCTAACTTTCCTCAGCCACACTTCCCGATGACCTCTTTCATGACCTTGACTGTTAGCGATAGACAAGTGAATGCTTACGTTTATTTATATCCGAGTGTACTAGGCTATTCTCTATCACCATTGAATTTTCTTGTTGTAGTTAATTCCACAGTTTAAAAAATTTGGAATAAAACGGAAAAAAAATTACTTTACCTCGTAGGACATAATGCATAGAGAAAATATGAGTAAATGATATCCTGTTCTTCTTAATTGTTTCGGTCACTTTCTTTTCTATTTAAATATCCTACTATTGTCCATAAAAGGCAAGTGTTGTTTTTGGCTGGACATGTTTGATTTTGAAAATTGAAATGAAATACTTCTAAAGTCGATCTTTAGAAGAAAGGTTAGCGGAATGTCTTCGTCTTTCTTCTTCCTTTTTTTTAATA